GGGGGGGAGAAGGAGAGAACGAAATATAAAGATATAACCAGAGACAGAGTTTGTAAAAGGGAATGAGATATATAGAGTGAGAGGGAAGGAGAACAAGGCAGAAGGAATAGTAGATAACGGGGGTCTAAAAACGCCCTACAATTTAAACGGCCATTAATTTCTTTGTCATATGATATGTGTACTTATTTCAACAAACATGTAAAAAGTAAAATTCAACCAAGGTGACTTCAGATTTGTTTTGTTTTATCTAATAATAATAATATAGGTGTTTCTATGCTCATATCGACACAATCTATATCATTTAGTTTGCGGGCTTCTGACCCTGCCTGTCAGGGCCAACCTGGGTTGAGAGGGATTCAACATCCCAATTGAAAGAACGAGATACTAAATAATATTTTTTTAAACCTCTTGGGAATCGAACCAGGTCCCCTGCATGCGACAGCAAAGCCACCTAACAGATGCACAACAAACACCTGTCGGCAAATCTGTTAATCTGAAAAAAAAGAAATTTTTTCAGTGCTCCGTTATTTTCAAGTCTTATAGAATTTCAACCAGACATGGGAGAAACGTAAAACTGTTCAACTTAATAAAAAATTAACCATAATGTGTATTTATTCACTGACGAGTTCATTTATATTAAATAAACTTTGCTAAAGATGGTGGCTGTAATTCAAATTACAGTTGCATTCTTTAGGTGTTCAAAATATGCCTCCAGTCAAGCCTGAATTTGCCATGGAAGTTCAGGAAAACCCTGTGGAATGGTTTTGGGAGGATTCTTTGGACCTCCTGTTCAACACTGAGTTACAACTGTTCGATCGTTTACAACAAAAGAAACAGCAACAACAACAAAAGAAACAACAATAACAACAACAACAACCCAACAACAACCCAACAACAACCCAACAACAACCCAACAACAATAACAGCAACAACAACCAACAACAATAATAATAAGAAGAAGAAGAACAACAACAACAACAATAACAACAACAACAACAACAATAACAACAACAACAACAACAGTCAAGAAAATTATCGAGGGTGCTGAAGTCGGGTGATCATTCATTAATTTGTAAAGTTTCGGCTTAGAGGACAATCCTGAAACCTTTCAGTCGACCACGCAAAGAGGGGTCGTGGTTTAGAGGTTAAGATGTTTGCCTCTTATTCAGTAGGTCCCGGGTTCTAATCCGGATCATCATCACCATTGCCTTTCTCACCCTGGATCAGGATATAGGCCACGAACAAACACTTTCCACTTTTCTGTAAATCCATTTCCGTGACTCTTCTCCAGGTCCCATGTAGTCTTCCCCTTGATCTTTTACTCTGTAGGTTCTAGTCTCACATTTTCCTTGTTATGCAGCTGCTTGATTTCCTGAAAGTGTGTCCAATCCATCGCCAACGCCTTCTTCCGACCTCATTTCTGACTGGGTTCTGTCTCGTTCTTCTTTATACTTCCTATGTTGAGGATCCTGTCTCTCCAACTGATCCTCAGTGAGCTTCCTCAGACACT